CTCAGACTGCGTGGTGACGTTGTGATCCACCCTGAGCTTGCTTTGCACTTCCTGACTGGTCTTGTGACCCTCTGTTCTCCCCCACTTTGCCTATGGGGGTGTGTCAAACATATGTGTATATTTGTTGTAGTTTGGTTAGGCTTAGTGGGGTACTCACTGTGGGGTACAACCCCTTAGGTTTCTCCTTTGTATCTTTTCTCTCGATAGTCGACACCCAACTTTCCCGTAAGATTCTAACAACTGCAAAGGGTGTTTTCACGCGACTGATAAAGCGTTTCACGGAACCAGTCACAATCAGCTGGTAAAAAAAAAGGCGAATGGTCACAGATGAAACTCCCGCCAAAACAAAATGAAACCCAGAAAGAACCTGGATGCATTTTCGGATGATCAACCCTAAACACGTAACTCGCCAGGTGTTTAGGGTTGATCCGTTCCCAAACCGCATCCGATTCCGATCGGGTTTTAGTTTTTTTACAAGTTCGCATATTGGTTGGGCGCGAGCGGGAATTTTGTTGAGTTTCAAGTTTTTTTGGCGGGAGTTACATGTGTGACCATTCGCGTGATTTTTTACCTGTTGTTAGTGACTGAATCCATGACCCCGCTTACCAAACCCGTCAGAAAACCCGATACAGTGACCGTACGCGTTTTTTTTTTACCATTCACGTTATCAAGTTCCAAGTTGGTTACTTGTGGCATATTTTCCCTACGGTTCTCTGCCATTTTTGCGTCGAGCTGTACAGTGATGTGCGGTTTGATGCTTCATGATGGCATCTTCACTGAAGCCCTCATCCGTGTTACCAGCTCTTCATGGTTTCGTTGAATTCATACTCGATCGCAAATTGTTTCGCAAGCAGCAGAAAGCTTACTTCTCGGAAATACAAATTCGCTTCTCGGAATAGAAATGTTATTCGAACTTCAGGCCCTTTCTTTCTCATTATCGCGTACGTCATAGCTCCACAGGCAGGACTGCTCTGATTTGACCAATATATTTCAGTGGGAAAATATGCCACACGTAATCAACAAGGGTCTCGATAATATGTTTGGTAAAAAAAAAACGGGTACGGTGACTGCAAAGGGTGTTTTCACGTGGTTGATAACACGTTTCACGGAATCAGTCACAATCAACGGGGAAAAAAAAACGCGAATGGTCACAGATGAAACTCCCGCCCAAAAAAGATAATACCCAAAACGAACCTGGATACATTTTCGGATGAATCAACCCTAAACACAATTCGCCAGGTGTTTAGGGTTGATCCGTTCCCGAACCGCCTCCGTTTCCGATTGGGTTTTAGTTTTTTTAGAAGTTATCTGATTGGTTCGTCGCGAGCGGGAATTTTGTAGAGTTTCAAGAGTTTTTGGCGGGAGTTACATGTGTGACCATTCGCGTGATTTTTTACCTGTTGTGAGTTACTGAATCCGTGACCCCACTTACCAAGCCCGTCAGCAAACCCGATAGGGTGATCGTACGCGTTTTGTTTTTACCACTCACGTTATCGAGTCCCATGTTGGTTACTTGTGACATAATTTCCCTATTTCAGTAGCTTTTTTATTCGGAATTCACCCCTAAGTATGGCGTACCTTTTCCCTTCGCAAGGTGTTTCGATTTGCACATTGAGAGATGTGCGGCTTGATGGTGGTCGCGACTGGCCTCTTAGAAACTCGAAAATTCCACTCATATTTCTGAACCTACCTCCATCGAAAGCCGTTACCAGGATTCGAATCCGTGACAGCCTGACAATAAGGTGTGACGCTGGAAAACCATCCAGACCAGCAGAGCCTTCAACGACTGAGATCGAATTTGTGGACGTCGAGCCGTTGCTGCCGATCGGGACACGGATCGAGAAGCGTAGAGTGGGGGAAGAGGAGGGGGAGAGCAATGGCGGCGAAGCGGAGAGCAGCGTGAGGGCAACAAGCGGCGAAGAGCCGGGGGATAAGGGGAGAGGGGATAAGAGGAGTGGGGATAAGAGGAGTTGGGATAAGAGGAGTGGGAAAAGAGCAGGGAAAACGAGCAGAGGGGGAGAAAGTTGCGAAGAAGAGGAGGCAGTGGCAATCATTGCGAGAGTGCTAAGAGCGAAATTTGGGCCTCAGATTGTGAGAGAGGAAGAGGATGGAGGCGGAAGCAGTGTCGACGAAGCGGAGATTTAGGAGGAGGAGGTAGAGAGAGTGAAAGGGGATGAAAGTGTGGTGGGAAGAGGAATGGAAAAAGGCGAGGGGGAGGAGGAAAAAGCGGAAGAGGAGGAATTGAGCGAGGAGGATTCACCAGACTTCACGGCCTTACCCACACCTGCTACTCCACTCAAGGGCACGCGTGCAACAACTCCCTCCTCCCTCCTCTCCTTCTACCGCTTCTTCTCCTCCCACCTCGGCATCTCCTCCCCTTCCACCGTCGCCTCCCTCCTCGCCTCCCACCCTGCCCTCCTGCGTTCCGATCCTACCAGTGACCTGCTGCCACGTGTCCGATTATTATAGTCGTATGGGATTTCCCAGGCCACCATTGTCCACGTCACCATCAAGAATGCGTCTTGGCTCCGAAGCCCCCTTCTGCAAATCCAGGGGACGTTTGAGTTTATGCTGGCTCGGGGCGTCCACCGAAGCAAGCTAGGTATGGTGATCCGGGGCGCCCGATCCTTCATTTGCTCGCAGGCTCATTCAACGAACCTGGACATTCTGGTGGAGGCCGCAGGGATACCTGTGGAGAAGCTGGGTTTGATCATAGAGAGATGTCCGAAGATCTTAAGTCGAAGCGAAGAATCCATATGGGATCAAATCAAGCTGTTGTCATACTACTTTTCAGATGGATACGAAGAGAAGGCGACAGAAGCAGATACCAACAGCACAGGGCACCTGAAGCAACACCTGAAGAAACACCTGAACCGGCACCGTGTGGACAAAAGCCACCTGACGAGGCTTCTCCTGAAACACCCACGGATCCTCCTCTCCTATTCTGATCGTATCTCAGCCAATCTCAGCCTCTTCCAGTCCTTCACACCCCCTGGCAGCCCCTCCATCGCCATCCCTGTTCTCCGCCACGCTCCTTCCATCCTACACCTCGGTTCGGAGAATCTATTAGCTAAGCTCCACTTCTTTGTGGAGCTCGTGGGGGAGAAAGCAGCAGGGAGGGTGGTGCGGAGTCATCCGCTGGTTCTGGCTCTTTCCAAGGAGAATCTGAAGGGGAAGGTGGCGGTTCTGAGCGGTTTAATTGGGCCGGAGAATGCAGCAATTGCAGTAGGGCGATTACCGCTGCTGCTGACTTCTGGTGAAGAGACCATGAAGCAGAATTTTGGAGAGCTGTTGAGAGAGTTTCAGGAGGCGTTGGAAAGGGGAGGAGGGGATGAGGGTGGGATTGAGGAACAGGAGGCAGGTGGGATTGGTGAAGGGAAGGACGGGGTTGGAGAGTACAGGATTCAAAATGGAAAACAAGAAGGTACTTTGGGCATGGCTGAAGGTTCTGTGAATGTATTTGAAGAGAGGGCACGTAAGCTGGTGGTAAATCTGGTACTGAAGCCCCCGCAATGCATTTATTACAGCTGGGATGGGAACATGAGGCACAAGGTGGAGTACTTGAAACAGGAAATGGGTCTTTCTATAGTGGAGGTGCTTGCCTTCCCTGCGTTCCTGGGGTTTAATCGGATCGGCGAATGAAGATGCGACATGCAGCGCTGCTGCAATTGGGCTATGAGGTTGTGCCACATAAGGTGATGGCTCTTCAGAAGCTTGGTAGCAATCGGAAAGGGATTGCGGACGGAGGTGAGGAGAGCAGAAGGCGGCAGGAGCATGTGGACTGGGAGGGGAAGGAGGGTCGGGCAAATGTAGGGAATGGGGAGGACGAGTGGCAAGAAGAGGAGGGTGAGGTGGAGAGTAATGGGCTTCTAGTAAGACCGCATGAAGGCAACGACGAGCCTAGAGGAAGAGGCGGATTTGAGAGTCAAGGCGTGGCACAGCAAGAACAGCCTAAGAAGCTGGTGTGCTTGTCTCAGTTCCTTAGTTGTAGTGATAAGCGTTTTGAGGAGAATTTTATGAGCTATAGGGGAAGCTGATTTGCTTTGTAGACTACCACTGTTGCATTTTTTGTATCAGCAAGACTTCCTAAACTTGGACATTGGTCAAATGATATGGGTGTGAATCATTGCAGGTGAAGCTTTTTTCGACACGTGTTTGCTGGTTTTACCAGTTACGAGTACGAATTCGAAATGGCACAACCCAGCTTGTGGACTTGATGGGCGAATGCACAAAACTCTTGGCAGGTGTGGCAACCAGTCCTCGTTTCGAAAGAAACGGGCTAACGAACTCCGCATGCGACATTTCATTGTCACAATGCACTCGTGAAAAGAGATAGCATTGTTGCGCCAGAGAATGCTAGGATCCGTCTGTTGCATTCATATGGATTCACCATGGCTTCTATCAGAGCACTTTCTGTTGTATTGGGTCTGTAATGTAGATTTTGGGGCTAGCGAGTTGTCTGCAGCCAGTAACTGGAGTAACTATCGAGACGAAACGTTAATTTTATGGCAGTCACTGCAATGCTTCGGGAATCGGGAATCACTACTGATGGTCGTCGTAGGACAAGTACTGAAGGCGTGTAAGTCGTTCATGTGATCATTCATCCGTTTCGTTGCATCCATCGGCTATTCGATATGGCGTATTGGACCAGAACGTCACGGCAACCCAGCGCGTGGATTAACAGATTAAGATCTTCATTAAGATTCATGACACCGTCTTTTACGCCTCGTAATAAGTCATTTTCAGAGAAGCCTGAAATGGCATCCACAGCTGCTATTCCTTCCCCGCCGAGCCTCTACCGGTTTGGGCTAAACCGACACCAGCTTGCACTTAATGCATTCACCAGGTTTCGAACCCCTGACCGGAGCTTCACTAAAAGCTCTCCCGCTGGATCGTCGGCCAGAGCAGCAGAGGTTCCCGAGGCGGAGAGCGCGAACGTGCGATCTGATCCGATCTTTGATGGCAACCCAGTGCTGCCGGAACCGCAAGTGACGGTTGGGATGGAGGCTCGATTGCGTACAGGTGGCAGAGAGGAGGGAGAAAGTGATGCAGGAGAGTCAGAGAAGACCGAGAGTAGGGTGAGAAGAGAGGAGGTGGATGGCAGAGGAGCGCGTACGAGACGTGAGAGGAGAGCAACGGAAGTGGAGGACAATATTGACGGATGCGGGTCGAAGCGTGGAGGGAGGGGAGGATGGAAGGAGACAGAGGAGGAGGAAAAGGCAGTGGCTATGATTGCTGGAGTGTTGAGAGAGAAATTCGGGCCTCAGATTGTGAGGGAGGAGGTGGAGGAGGAGGGGTGTACAAACGGAAGGATTACGGATGAGGAGGACGCTAAAGGACGACACGAAGAGGAAGAGGTGGGGTATGGGGATGAGGAAACAGAGGGCTTAGAAGCTGAGGCCGAAGAGGATGAGGAAGGGAACGAGGGGGAAGACGCAGAAGCAGAAGAAGAATTGGAAGCAGAAGCAGAAGCGAGTGAGGAGGACGCACCACCCACCACATCTCCTCCCACACCCCTTCCTCCACGCAACAGCCCTCGGGTCGTATCTCCTTCCTCCCTCCTCTCCCTCTACCGCTTCTTCTCCTCCCACCTCGGCATCTCCTCCCCTTCCACTGTCGCTTCCCTCCTCGTCTCTTACCCTTCGCTCCTTCGGTCTGATCCCACCAATGATCTTCTGCCACGTGTCCAGCTTCTCCAGTTGTATGGCCTATCCCGTGCTGACATCTCAGTCATCACAGTGAGAAACCCTCCCTGGCTCCGATGCTCCCTTCCCCTGGTTCAAGAAATGCTTGACTTTCTCTTGGCTCGGGGGGTACGCCGTACCAAGCTAGGCATGGTGCTCCGAAGATCTCATTATCTCATTCGTTCGCAGCCTCGTTCAACGAACCTGGACATTCTGGTGGAGAGAGCAGGGGTTCCTGTGGATAAGCTGGGCGTGATGATAGAAAGAAGGCCAGAAATTGTATGTGTGAGTGAGGAATACATACAGAGTCGCCTCGAGCAAGTGTCAGCGTATTTTACCGATGGATACGAAGGAGGAAACGTCAACAGCGGGCACCTGAGGCAACACCTGAACCAGCAGCATAAGGAAAAGAATTACCTGGGCAAAATCCTGGTGCTTTTCCCAAGGAATCCTCTTCAAGACTCCCGAGCGCGTGGCCACCAATCTCCGCCTCCTCCAGTCCTTCACCCCCCCTGACAGCCCCTCTGTTGCCATCCAGATTCTCCGCCAGGCCCCAACTCTCGTCAATCTCAGCTCTCAGAATCTCTTAGCTAAGCTCCAGTTCTTAGTGGAGCTGGTGGGGGAGAAGGCAGCAGAGAAGGTGGTGCGCATCCATCCGTCGATTCTTAAGATATCGGTAGAGAACATGCAAAGCAAGGTGGCATTGCTGAGCGATCTGATTGGCCGAGAGAACGCTGTGCTTGCAGTGGCACGGAATCGGAACATGCTGGCATCTAATGCGGAGAACATGCAGAGGAGTTTCAGAGAGCTTGTGCGAGAAGTGGAAGAGGCATTGGAGGGTGGTGGTGAGCACGGTGGTGGGTATGCAAGAGAAAGCCGGCCTTTTGAAGTGCCTCAAAAGAATGCAAGAGGGTGTGCGGAACAGAGGGGGAGCGGCGCCGGCTCTCGAGCTGGCTCCAAGAGCTGGGCTGAAGCAACAGCAGCAGAAGAACCAGGCTTTAAGAGCATTGCTGCCGCCACAGGACCAGGCTTTAAGAGCATTGCTGGGACCACCATAGCTCATGAGATGGTGATGAATCTGGTGGTGAAGGTTCCGACATCTATTCGGTATAGTTGGGAGAGGAACACAAGGCACAAGGTGGAATACTTAAAACGGGACATGGGGCTCCCTATAACAGAGGCCCTTGCGTTCCCTTACTTCCTTGGGTACAGCTTGGATCAGCGAATCAGACCGCGACATATGGCGCTACTGAGCAAGGGCTATGTGTTCGTGCCACATGAGGTGGCGCTGCCAAAGAATAGCGCACAAAAAGGGGGGCACTTGGAGGGAGTTGGTAGCGGGAGGGGGGCAGAAGGGAAGGACGAGGATATAGAAGTGGTACCGGTATATGGGGAGGATGAGGGTGAGATGGAAGAGTTGGGGGTGAGGAAGGTTGAGTTTCAAAATGTATTGGATTCTATGCAAGACAGCTATGCTTTGGTGGGGGGAAAAGGTGCTGCGGGCCAGCGCGGCGTGAATGGGCAGCTGGGAAGGGAGGCGGTTTGCTTGATTCAGTTGCTTGGATGCTCAGACAAGGAGTTTGAAAAGAGATTTAAGGTCGAGCTCGCACCGTTCATGCCGGAAACTCGTCCTTAGTCGGGCTTTTGAGGCGCCTCAAAAGGGGGGTGGTGGTGTGCTTGGTTCTGTTACCACACTTGTTTGCGTAGACAAGGAATTCCTGAAGGGATTCAAGGTTGAGCTTGTTGCACCGTTCATGCCTGGAACTTGTCCCTAATCAAGGTTACGAGGCGTCGCGAATGGCAGGGGGTGCGGAGCGGTTTGCTTGATTCAGGTGCCTAGATGCACAGACCAGGAATTCGAAAAGAGATCCAAGGTCGAGCTTTGCTTTGTACCGTCCATTGCTGGAAGCTCATCCCTAGTCAGGCTTTCAAGGGCCTCAAAAGGGAGGCGGTATGCTTGATTCAGTTGCTTGGATGCAGACATTGAATGTGAGAAGAGCTTTCAGATTGAAATTTGAAATCTCATCGTCTTTGTCCATGCTTGTCCATGCTTGTCCATGCTCGTCCATGCTGGGAACTTGTCCCTATCAAGCATTTGAGGCGCCGTGAACGGGAGGGGTTTTAATTGGACGTGCCTGTTGGCGATCAATCTGTTGGCGACAAAGTGAACCCGACAAACCTTACAGGCTAAGCTACAGAACCAAACTTCTGCTCCTTCGGCCCCTGTCCCTGCTGCTGCTCCTGCTCCTGCTCGTCAGCCCCTGTCCCTGCTGCCGCTCCTACTCCTGCCCCTGCCCCTGCTGCTACTCCTGCTCCTGCTCCAACTTCTGCTTCTGCTTCTGTCCCTCCTGCTCCTGTCTCTGCTTCTGCTTCTGCTTCTGCTCCTGCTCCTGCCCCTGTCCCTGTCTCTACTCCTGTCCCTGTCTCTACTCCTGTCCCTGTCTCTACTCCTGTCCCTGTCTCTACTCCTGTCCCTGCTCCTACTCCTGCTCCTGTCCCTGTCTCTACTCCTGTCCCTGCTCCTACTCCTGCTCCTGTCCCTGTCCCAGCTCCTGCTCCTGCTTCTGCTCCTATCACGGTACCTAGCAGCAGCACGCCGGGTTTCCTCCAGCTTGGCTCTCTTCAATCTCTCCTGCTCCTCCTTCTTTGCTTTCTCTGCTGCTGTATCCTTCTTGACTGCCAGACACAAAATGTTACAGGGAAAGCGCAGGAGAACAAACACAGGGAAACGGATCCGGGACAAACGAAAAGGCTTAGCTCTCTTCAACCTCTCCTGCTCCTCCTTCTTCGCTTTCTCTGCTGCTGTGACTTTCTTGACTGCCACACACAAACAGGTACAGGTACGAGGAAAGAATGGGAGAACGTCACAAAATAAACTTCAGCTTCCAACGCTAATTTCATCAACCATTCGTCCCCCGCTTTTATCAAACGCATCCCTCACGGCCCACAGCGGCCTAACACGCCTCACCACGCCTCCAACCTACTGTGTTTGTTCAGCTGTTTTGCCATCAATCGCTCTAGCCTCCCCTGAGATATTCCCTTCGCCCCTCCCTGCATACATCAACATGCCTACTCTGTTTGTTCACCCTCGTTTCAACCACTCCACACCCAGACTGTGTTTGTTCAGCTGTTTCGCCATCAGCCGATTCAGCCTCTCCTGAGGGGTCTCCTTCGCCCCTCCCCTCCCTCCATACATCAACGCGCTAACCCCTAGTCTCACCCACGTTACCCCCAACCTACTTCATCCCCGACCCACTTCACCCCCAACCTACTGTGTTTGTTCAGCTGCTTTGCCATCAGCCGCTTCAGCCTTTCCTGTGGGGTCTCCTTCGCCCCTCCCTCTGCTCCCTTGCCCGCCGCCCCTGCCACTCGAGGCAGCGTGGATGATGTAAGTAAGCGACGGCTGTGGGGTAGAGGGGAAGAAGTGGAGAGAAGGGGAGGGTGAGGGGGGAAATTATTATTAAGTTTACTAGATAGTCAGTATTCGCCCCTCCCTCTGCTCCCTGCACTGCCTGCCCCTGCCACTTGAGGCAGCGTGAATGATTTAAGTGAGTGACAGCTGTTGCGGGGGAGAATGGACATGGAGAGAGGGGGAGTGGGGAGAGCAGAAAATTTCTGGAAATCACTCAATATACAAAATCCTTCACTTCTCCCTGCGCTTCCTTGCCCCGCCCTGCCACCCGAGGTAGCGTGGACAACACAAGCAATCGAGTGGAAGTTGGAGGAATCGAGATTCGATTTTGAAAAACACACACACACACACACACACACACACACACACACACACACACACACACACACACACACACACACACACACACACACACACACACACACACACACACAAGCAACAAACAAAACAAAACGCGTAGTGCGCACGACGCAAGCTGACGACCTATTCCCACAACACCTGACCAGCACAAGCAATCATCACACCATGAACCCACCTGATAGCTGGCGAGTGCTTGGAAGAGGCAGGTGAAGGGGAGCCAACCGAGATATCCTCAGTCAAACCCCTCTCAAACCGCTCTCCACCGTACCCTCTCCTCCTCTCCTCCTCCCCTCCTCTCCTCCTCTCCTCCTCGCCTCCCCTCCTCCTCTCCTTTTCCCTACCAAAGCCCTCATCCCCTCCCACACCCCCGCCAAACTGAGTGATAAACTCTATCCCGCCCTCCTTCTCCCCATCCCCTCTTGACCCCCTTCCCCCTGCGTCTTCCCCTCTGCCCCTATCCCTCTCCCTAGCCCTCTCCTGCTCTCTGTCCCTATCCCTATCCCTATCCCTGCTTCTGTCAAAATCCCTGTCCCACCTGTCCCCCTCCCTTCTCCTCTCCCTATCCCTATCCCAATCTCTTTCTCTCCCCCTGTCCCTCCCTCTGTCATCGTGCCCCCTCTGCCCCTCGGTGTGCCCCCCAACTCGCACCAGCCCCTGCTGCTTCCATCCCTCCCCTTTCCCCTGCTGCTTCTTCCCCTGGCCTCCCCCTTCCTTTCCCTGCCGAGCAAGCTTCTTCCTCTCCTTGCGTGAAGGGCGCTGGTAAAGAGGGGAAAGAGGGGAATTACCAGGGCATGGGAGAGGGAGTGGGAAAGTGAATGGAAGAGTGAATGGGATAGTGAATGGGAGAGTGATACTAAAGCATGGTGCACATCAAAACTGAAATACATACGTCAAAATAAGACACAGACGCTACCAAAACATAACCTGACGATGTGATGAGGCGATTTTTGAGTCGACTCAAAAACATAACCTGACAAAATAATCCTATCATGACTCAGATTGGGTAGAAAATTCGCTCACCGAATCATTGCCTGCCATCTGTCGCAGCCTCTTCTCTTTCTCCAAGGCAGATACTGCCAAATCCATGTGCCGGCCGTACTCCTCGATGCCGTACCGCTCCGCCATATCTGCCAAACGCTGCCGCCCACCAGGAGACATCCAACCGTATTCCTCCACGTCTCCCCCCTCCCCCCCATCCCCCTCCCCTTCCTCCTCCTCGTCCTCCTCATCCTCCTCTTCCTCATCCTCGTTACAGTCACCTGCATTAATGTCACTGCTTCCATAAGAAAACGGCATGTTAGCGTAAGCCCCCTTCCCTGCTGCTGGTGTTGCTGCGGATGCTGGTGTAGCCGCAGCAGGCAGTTTTGGCCTGGGGTAAAGAACGAGGGAAGGGAGAAAGGAGAGGAGGAGAGTCAGATGGGTGATATGCAGTGCACTGATGGAAAGATGGGTGAAAAGAGGGATGCGAAAGCGAGTGCCACCTGAGAAACAACAAGTGCTCTACCTGTGGGGGTAGGTGCCATCTGCGAGGGCAGGTGTTATCTGCGAGAGCGGGTGTCGCCTCTTACCACACACAGTGCAACCTGGTGGCTTTGAGCTGAGCATGAGCTCTCGCCTCCATCTCCCACTCCACCTGTTCCTCCTGCTCTCTGACTGTGATGCTGCTACCTGCCCTTCTCAAGCACACACACAGTGCTACTGCTAGCCTTGAGCAAACACAATGTGGGTACCTGTTGGCTTTAAGCTGAGCGTGAGCTCTTGCCTCCATCTCCCTCCACCTGCTGCACCTCCTCGGACTCTTCAGGTGCTACATGAGAACACAGAGCAAGGAGTGGGTACCTGTTGGCAAGGAGTGGGTACCTGTTGGCAAGGAGTGGGTACCTGTTGGCAAGGAGTGGGTACCTGTTGGCAAGGAGAGAAGGAGCGGAGCCCAGGCTTGCGCCTCCATCTCTCGCTCCACCTGTCTCTCCTGCGTCTCAATCTGTGAAGCTGCTACCTGCCTTTCTCAAGCACACACGCAGTGCTACCTGTTGGCTTTAAGCTGAGCGTGGGCTCTGGCCTCCATCTCTCGCTCCACCTGCTGCAATCCCTCCTCCTCCGTCTCTGCCATCGTAAACACATGCCACAGATCGGGGTAAACAATGGGATAAAAAAAAAATAAAGTATGGGTAACACGTGTGACAACGTGAGGGATGTCTCTCATTCCACCTGCTGCAATCCCTCCCCCTCTGTCTCTGCCATCGTAACACATGCCATAAACGAGGTTGATTATGGAAGGTGGGAAAGGTACGAGTTAAAGAGGGTTCTGTTGTGGGTGCAGGGTGCGGTGGAAACACCAGAACACAACATACATCACCGCCGGTGTGGTCTATCTGTGGTGTGACTGTGTGTGACACACGTGAGAGGTTCTCAATCGAAACCTGTCGCATGCCCTTCTTCTTCCTCCTCCTCCTCCTCCTCCTCCTCCTCCTCCTCCTCCTCCTCCTCCTCCTCCTCCTCCTCCTCCTCCTCCTCCTCCTCTTCCTCCTCCTCCTCCGTATCCTCCGGACCTCCTCTGTTTTTTGCACGCTCTGCTTCCTTCTCCTTCCCCAGACATCACAACTCACTTGCATGCCAGCCCAATCGCACGAGATCTCAATACCGCTGGAAGTTACCCGCCTCCTCCTCCTCCTCCTCCTCTTGCTCCTCTGTATTGCCTCAACACGTGAAGAACATACAGAATGAAGCGGCACACACAACGCGTGAAGGGCCACTCACTTGCATGCCAGCCCAGCCGCACGAGGTCTCGGTATTGCTCAAAGTTACACGCCTCCTCCTCTTCCACTCTCTTGTTCAACACGCGGAACACAAAACCCTAGCGACACAACAACACAGGTAGGGCAACTCACTCGCATCCCAGCCCAGCCGCACAAGGTCCCGGTATCGTTCAAAGTTACACGCCTCCTCCTCCTCCTCTTGCTGCTCTGTGAGCTCCCTCGCCCCATGCCTGTGCGGGTCACACTCCCGAATGAAATCCAGCATGGCTCGCCCGTCATACCTGTGCTAGCGAGTGGTCAATGGTGGTGGAAATGGGTAGGGGTGGGTGGGAGATGCACTTCAGATACGTAAGTGTCGCGATATAGGCACACCAGGCATGGAAGGAACGAACATGGGGGGCATCAATTAGACCTGCCATGGCATGTGCTTATGAAGGAATGCCATTTTAGACTGCTGCACGGCAGGCAGCCATTGCTGCCAGGCTTGTCAAGTTGACAAGGACCAGCAGCAGCAGCCACACATTCTATACAGCACACCTTAAAGGAATGTATATATTACTTTTATACCTGCCCATGAACATGCCCTGGCCAGTAATTTCATCCCCTGAATAACAACTCTCACCCACCCTACCTGTCTCTGAGCGTGTCTTCTCTATTGTTCCATGGGATGCTGCAGGATGCAGGCAGCCACGGGGGTTTGTCTTTGAGATATCTCATCTCAACCCAAACTTAGCACCATGCAGCACAGATGCACGTCACACGTACCTGTCTATGAGTGTGTCTTCTCTGTTGTTCCACGGGATGCTGCAGCGTGGTCGAGTGAAGAGGAAGGAAGAAAACGCGCAGACCAGCAGAGCAGAGAAAGACGAGAGGAGCACGGGGCACAGCGAAAGGAGCGAGGAGCAGCCAGAAACAGCAAAGCGCGGTGCAGCGAAAAGCGAGGCGCAGAGGAAAGAAACAAAAGGGAGGGCAGCAGGAGGGCAAGAAAAAAGAGGGGCTTAGGATAGGGAACACGTGACGGGAATATGCGCAGGGCAGAGCCTAGCAGGTATGTTAGCAAAAAAAAAAGGGAAGGTCACCACAGAACATGATTTGTGACTGGAATTGCTGTTCTAGTCGACTTAAACGGTGCCAGCGCAGATTACAGGTGATAGGTGATGCATAGAATGGCTAACGGAAAATGGGAGTATTACATGAGAAAACCGAAGACAGGGCAGGAGGCAAGCAAGGTTAGGAGGTAGAATAAAAAAGGTGGTTTGAGAGGGAAGAGAGGGAAAAGGGGGAAAGGACGGTGGGTGTGTGGGGGAATGGGGAGAAGAGGGGAGAAAAAGGGGAGTAGAGAAGGGAAGTGAACACGTGGGATGCATGGGAAGGAAATAAGACAGGGTGAAGGAAAAACGGTTAATGGACAGGCCACGGCGAGACGCAAAACATTCGGGGGAACAAGGGGTCTCAGACAGTGCTTAGAGCCCCGCTTTGTGATTTTGTAAAGCCAGGTCAGGGGGTATGTCTATCAGGCGATGACGCCATGGCGTGAGGCGAATCAAAGGAGGGGATAGGTGGTCCTAGACAGGCCTCGGTAAGCCTCTGCAGCAAGCGAGAGGAAGGATAGGGGGTCACAGACAGGCCGGACAGGTCCTGCGCGGACTGGTAGACGGCGGAGTCGTGCGCCAGGCGGAGCTTGGTGCCCGCCACGCGCAGCAGCTGCGTCGGATCCCCCGCACGCCGAGACCGCTGATCCGCGCGCCGCTCGGCGCGCTTCTTCGCCGCGTCCATCATCTCGTGCACGCGCTTCTCCGACCGCCGCGCCTCGTGCCACATGATGGCGGCGCGCGCTCTGATGCTACTAGTAGCCTCGTATTTGAGAATGCTTAAAAAGCACCCTAATGTTCCTACGCTCGTTGTGGTCCTCCTTTATTTCGGAAAGAGAACACGTAAATATTGTCATGCACTAAAAAAATATTCACGCCGGTTGAGAAAAGCCAGACGACAGTCCGTTGAGAATCAGTCGCCTATTCTAGGAATGGACGGACGGACGGAAGTCACTATTCCAGTTCCAGAGTGATGCACTTTGTCAGATCGGTTTGAGTTTGCCTTCATGTCGACCCGAACCTGAGGTTCATTCCAACATCGAGAAAACCGGTTCAAATTCCGTGGATTTTCTCGGAGGACGGCGACACAATGTTTCGCGAGGGCGAAGACAGACTCCTCGTTAGACGGAAATGTCTGGCTGGCGACGCGACGACGGAACATTCAATGGTCCAAGAAACACGGTTGTGTGACTTTCGCGAGTAAAACTGGGCAACCGAAATTACATATCCTGGCGAAAACAAGATCAAGTGCTCGTTTGTTCGGTAATATTCCAAGCTCGGACAATGGATGGCTGGAAAGAGGGAAAGTTTACACCAGCAAAGCTGGTCTCTCTCCGAACCGAACTCAACCACCAATTTACTTACAAGCTAAATTAGAGCTCAGCGTACGCCACTCGTTCCGTATTCTAACTACTAGCCTACGTGTACGTGAAAACGACTATACGATTCAAGCGATTTTTACGAATGCGACGGATCCATGAACGTTTACGTCGCCTCGCGTAGATCAGCCCGCCGTTTGCTATGGCTAGTCCTACCTCTAACGTCACGGCCGTTTCTAGGTTCGATTCCCGGATTTACGGCTTTTGAGACTTCTCAAACACACCGGATCGCATCTCGATTCTCTGTTCCTTCCTTGCCAAGCCTCGATCGAATCGGATCGAATCCAAATGAACCTGCGCGAAACGCGTCTTCTCAACTCCGAGGCTTCGGGCCGCCTCAAGAGACCTTCTCATCCCACGTCCGAAGCTTCGCCGCATGGTCCGTCGTTGGTGCGTCTTCTAGGCCAGCAGACGCAGAAGCTTCCGAGGCGGAGACTTCTATCTTCGGTTCGGAATCACTTCCCAGAAGCAAGCCTCTAATAACGGTGCAAGCGGACCTTAAAACGCGTACAGTGCAGGACGAGGAGAGGGAGGATGGGGGAGGAGGCCGGAGGAGCATCAGGAAAGTGAAAGGGGAAGAAAAGGGAGGTGGGGATGAGAGGGTTGAGTGGGTAATAGCGGGGAATGCAGCGGGGAAGAGTGAGGGAGGCAAGAGGAAGAGCAACAGGACGGGGGCCTGCAAGGAGGAGGAGGAGGCAGTAGCAGTGATTGCTGGAGTGCTGAGGGAGAAATTCGGGCCTCAGATCGTGAGAGAGGTAGAGGAGTTGGGGAGTGGGATGAGAAGCAGCGAGAACGACGAGAGGGTGAAAGTGAAAGAGGAGGAGGAGGGGGAAGAGGGGGACGATGAGGAGGCGGAGGAAGAGGAGGATGAGGACGACGCAGAAGGAGAGACGTGTGAGGAGGACTCACCACCGACCACATCTCCTCCCACGCACCCTCCTCAGTTGTACAACCGGCGGGTCGTATCTCCCTCCTCCCTCCTCTCCCTCTACCACTTCTTCTCCTCCCACCTCGGCATCTCCTCCCCTTCTACCGTTGCGTCCCTCCTCGTCACTTACCCTCAACTCCTCCGCTCCAATCCCACCAATGACTTCCTGCCACGTGTCCGTCTCCTCCAGTCATATGGCATATCGCATGCCGACATCGCCCATGTCACTGTGAAAGCACCACCTTGGCTCCGAGTCCCCCTTGAACAGATTCAAAACACCCTTGAGTTTCTTTTGGCTCAAGGCGTCCACCACAGCAGATTGGGTTTGATCCTCCGACGTACACGGCGCTTACTCTGGTGGGAGGCACGTTCAACGAACCTGGACATTCTGGTGGAAAAAGCAGGGGTTCCTGTGGACAAGCTGGGTGGGATTATAGAGAGATATCCGGACATCTTGACTTGGGGCAAAGAGGCCCTGAATACGCAGCTCGAAGCATTATCTGCCTATTTTGAGGCGGGGTGTGGAACGAAGGTAGAAGCAGGTAGCACCAGTACAGGCCTCCTGAAGCAGCGACAAGATGAGCCGCATCGGGACGCAAGCCACCTAAGCAGGCTTATCGTTAAGTATCCAGTCATCTTCTCTCGTCATCCCCATCACATTGCAGAGAGTATTGTCATTCTCCAGTCCTTCACTCCCCCAGGCACCCCCTCCATTGCGAGCTCTGTGCTTCGTCGTGCCCCCAGCATCTTCAGTTTAAGCAAAGAATATCTCTTAGCTAAGCTCCAGTTCTTTGTGGAGCTGGTGGGGGAGGAGGCAGCAGGGAGAATGGTGAGGAGCCGCCCGCAGGTTCTGCAACTATCGAAGGATAATGTGCAAGGCAAGGTGGCGACATTGGCTGATTTGATTGGCCAAGAGAATTCCATGAGGCTGGTGGCTCGATCTCCTGTGCTAGTAACGACTAGTGAAGATTGCATGAAGGATACTTTCAGAGAGCTTGTGCGAGAAGTAGAAGAGGCATTGGAGAGAAGTGGAGATGTGGGAAATGAGACGAAAGTGCTGGGTAAAGGTGACAGTGCGGTTTGCTTGGAAGGGGGAAATCACTCCCGAGCACTAAGCTCAGCACTAAGCTCAGCACTAAGTGGCAATAGATGCAGGGCTCGTCAGCTGGTGGTGGATTTGGTTATGAAGTTTCCACCGTGTATTACCTTCAGCTGGAAAACGAACCTGAAGCCCAAGGTGGAGTACTTAAAACGGGACATGGGTCTCACTATAACGGAGGTGCTTGCCTACCCGCCCTTTCCTGGGTTCAGTTTGGATCGGCGAATCAGACCGCGGCATGAGGCACTGGTGCGAATGGGCTATGAGGTTGTGGCACACAAGGTGGTTATTCGAATGAGTGCTGGGAAGCAGAGAGCCAAGCTGGGTTCTGTTTGCTCCTCTCTTTCTGACGAAGTGGGGGGGGTGGAGGGGATTGATTGGGGAGCGGAAGAAAGGAAGAGTGGAAGGACGGGTGACAGGCAAGAGCAGCAAGGCGAAGGGGAGGATTCTGGTAGTGGACTGCTGCTTGAGGAATTCCCAGACAATCACGAACCAGGGGTCGGAGCTGCTACAAAGCAGCAGCTTGTGAATTTGGAGGCAAAAAGGAAATCGGTGTGCTTGCAGCAGTTTCGCCGCTGCTCAGACAAGAAGTTTGAGGAGAAGTTTGGGGTCAAACTGTAGGGCTGCTGCTGATATAAGCTTCTGTGGCTTCCAATGTGCCCCGGGCCTCAGAGTCCATGCCTGAGTGTCAGTGTGTGCTCCAATGCCTGATGTCTGTGTGTGCCTCTCCACATTAGCCAATTGTGGCAGGGGCGGTGGGGGGTCCTGTGCTATGGGCTCTGCTTTTCACTCTAGTTTCGATTAAACCAGGTGCTGGAGAGGAGACGGCAGGGGGGATAGCAGAACTAGCAGCAGCGGCAGGAGCAGCAGGAGGAGGCGGAGGGGATAGTGTGAGTGTCACAGCCTTTTTGCTGGGTCCTCTGTTGCTGCCTGATGGGACTGGAGGGGGTGTGGCTGCTACAGCAGCTGCCTCTGCTACAGCTATCTCTGCTACATCTGTCTCTGCTACAGCTATTGTGGCCCTTCCCCTGCAGTACCTGCTACAGCTGTTCCTGTGGGTGGTGGTGTCGCCAGGTGTAGCAGAGGGGCTGCTGTTCAGAGGGTGGCTGCTCACGGACCTGCAAGAGAGGCTCGGCAGGTGAGAGGCTCGGCAAGAGGCTCGGTGGTGAGTTTTGGCAAGGGTCCACTGGTACCACCTTCTTTTTGGGTTTTATAGGTTCCTCCATTCCCATAGCCCACACTCCTCGCATCAATTCAATGTCACTACTTTCCCATCTTCACTCACTTGATATCGTCTCTCTTGTATCCTTCCCCTCCTTTCCTCCCTGCACTATCCCCTTCCATGCCCCTCACTCCCTCAGGATGGTCGCTGCAATGCTCTATGCAGCCCTCTCCGCCCTCTTCCACCTCTCCCTATCCCTCCTCTTCCCCAACATGGCCCTTGGGTTTGCCTCCGGCCTGCTTGCTGGTGCGAATGGGCTATGGTTGTGTTGGAGACAGGAAGGGTGTTTCGACAAGAAGTGGAGAAGAGAGGAGCTGGGTGTTCTGTGTCTGACAAAGTGGAGGGGATAGAGAGGATTGAATGTGGAGCGGAAGAAAGAGTGAAGGAACAGGTGACAGGCAAGAGCAGCAGTGCCAAGGGGAGGATTGTGGCAACGGACTGTTACTTGGGGGTTTCCTAGGGAGTGACGAGCCAGGAGAAAGAGCTGGCAAAGAGCAGCAGCTTGTGAATCTGGAAGCGGCCAGGAAATCAGTGTGCTTGCAGCAGTTTCTTCGGGGTACAGACTGTCAAATTACATTTGTATGTGTAGGCTGTAGTGGGGTAGCCTCTACTGAGTACAACATTTTAGGTCAAACCTAGTACTTGTACTCATCCTTGCTTGCTAGTCAATCATTCCTGCACAGTTGATTCTGACATGGTATTCAGAGCAGGAAACCTGTTAGGTTTTTAGGGCTCACCGATCGTTCCACTAGTTCCTGCCCGAAGCACCCTTGTGCTGTCCGGCCCTCTCGCACAGTGTCACGCTGTCCTGCAGCTACTCGCACTGCCTGCCTTAGCGCGCTGCCCTGCTGTCACGCGCGCCCCTGCTGCCCGCGAGCAGCTCCTGCCCCACGTGCCCCTGCTGCCCGCGAGCAGCCCCTGCCCCGCGCGCCACTGCTGCCTGCGAGCAGCCCCTGCCCGCGAGCAGCCCCTGACCCGAGCGCCCCTGCTGCCCGCGAGTAGCCCCGCAGCCCAGCGCGCCCCGCAGCCCTAAACGCGCCAGCGCGCCCCGCTGCTAAACGCGACAGCGCACCCCGCTGCTAAACGCGCCAGCGCGCCCCGCAGCCCAGCGCGCCCCGCTGCTAAGCGCGCCAGCGCGCCCCGCAGCCCAGCGCGCCAGCGCGCCCCACTGTGAAGCGCCCCAGCGCGCCCCGCAACCCTAAATAATATTAATTATCACAAAAAAAAAAAAAAAAAAAAAACCCAGCGCGCCCTGCTGCCCAGCGCGCTGCTGCTGCACAGCTACTGCTGCGATGTGCCCTGCTGAGCAGCGCTGCCCAGGCCGAGCCGCGCCGCCCAGCCCGAGCCGCCCTCCTGCTACTACTGCTGCTGCTGCTGCTGCTGCTGCTCGTGCTACTGCTGCTGCTGGTGGAGGTGCTGCTGGGAGTGCTGGAGGAGTCGCCGCCCAGCCCCACCGAGCCGCCCTGCTGCTACTACTGCTGCTGCTGCTGCTCGTGCTACTGCCGCTGCTGGTGGAGGTGCGGCTGGGAGTACTGGAGGTGCTGGACCTACTACTGACTGTCACTGCCTGTCATGGCCACTATCACGGCAGTTGCAGCGGCTAGGGGTGGACAGCAGCGGTCACTGCCTCTCCCGGATGACCCCACCCCTCAGCAGCTTCGTGATGGGGTGATTCAGCGAGGTAGTCCTGGTGGTGGAGGTTTTGGTTTTATGTGGCCTCAGCGACCTTGCGACTGTGCTTCTCAGCGATGCGTCCCTGGTCGTGTAGAGGCTGCTGCTCTCGGTTCTAGTGAGTCTGCTGTCGCTCCAGGTGCTGGTGAGTCTGCTGCAGCTCTAGGTGCTCGTGAGTCTGCCGTCGCTCTAGGTGCTAGTGCGTCTACTGCCACAGGTCCTGCCTCCACTGAGGCCTTACACACTTTCACGCTTGACTCAGGCGCGTCACGTTGCTTCTTTCGTGATTGCACCACAGTCACACCACTTGCAGCACCTGTCCCAGTCTCATTGGCTGACCCCACTGGCGGCCCAGTAGCTGCGCGAGCCTCCACTGTCCTCCCGTGTCCGGTAGTCCCCTCCGGGTCTCTCTCAGGTCTCCACCTCCCCGCGTTCTTGACGAACTTGTTGAGCAACGCAGTTCTCCAGGATTAATGGGTTGACACCTTCATTCCTTGAGGACAGCGTGTGGCGATCTGTAAGTGCTCACAGACTGGCCGTCACCTTGCTACGTTCACTCGTCAGCCTGGGTCCGGTCTGTACACCCTGACCACTGCGTCTGCACAGGTGGCTAAGTAAGGTCAGGTGGCTGCGTCGAGTCGGGTGTCTGCGTCTGGTCAGATTGTAGTGTCTTGCTCGTGTCGGGTACTCTCTCACCAGACTCTCCTCTGGCACCACCGCCTAGGTCACCCCTCGCTGCTGCGTCTCCGCATCAAGCACTCCCGTCTCCTTGTCTCTGGCCTTCCCAGATCCCTGCCCTCCCTCCCGCGCTCGCCTGCCCCGCCGTGCCTTCCCTGCGTCGAGGGGCGGCAGCGCGCCGCTCCTCACTCCTCCGAGTTTCCTCTGACCACTGCTCCTCTGCAGACTCTCCACATGGACGTTTGGGGCCCAGCCCCCATCGGTGGAATGAACCAGGAGCGCTACTTCCTGCTGGTTGTTGACGACTACACACGCTACACCACTGTCTTCCCCTTGCGGCACAAGGCGGACGTCAGCGGTGTTTTGATCCCCTGGATCCATGCTACTCGTCGCCAGCTACGCGAGCGGTTTCGTCGGGACTTCCCAGTCCTGCGTCTGCACTCTAACAGGGGCGGTGAGTTCTCTTCTGACCTCCTTGCGGAGTTCTGTCGAGACGAGGGCATCCGCCAGTCGTTCACGCTTCCGGCCTCTCCTCAGCAAAATGGGATTGCTGAGCGTCGCATTGGCTTGAACATGGAGGTTGCTCGTACCTCCATGATCCATCCGGCTGCTCCCCATTTTCTGTGGCTGTTTGTGGTCCGATACGCAGCGCATCAGCTCAACCTCTGGCCCCGTGTCTCTGAGCCAGAGACCTTGCCCACACTCCGGTGGACGGGGAAGGTTGGCGATGCGTCGGTGTTTTGGGTCTGGGGCGCGCTCTCCCTTGTTCGCGATGCCAAAGCGAGCAAGCTCTCCTCTCGCACTCTCCGCTGCATCTTTATTGGCTTCCCCACCGACGCCATGCCGTGGCAGTTCTACCACCCGTGTGAGCGTCGAGTCTTCTCCTCCCAGGATGACGAGTCTGTATGTTTCTATAAGCTACACCTGCACGCGTCCCACCCGGTCCCCCTAGCACCTCTTTTCTTGGTACCATTCCCCCCCCGGGTAGACCCCTTCCCCCCACAGGGTCCTGCTCCCTCAGGTGTGTCTCAGGTAGACCCACCCCCGCTGGTTGAGCCTTTGGAGATCTCTTATGGCTCCTCCGGCCCAGGTGAGGGGGGTGACCCCGCCGCTGACGATACGGCGGCCACTCGCCGCTCTCCACGCTTGGAGACCCCCCCTGGTTTTCCACCTCGGCCGTCTTCGCTGCCTCCACAGCCTGCTGCTGTAGACTCTGGAGTTGAGACTGCTGGTGTTGAGCCTGGGGGCGCTGAGACAGAGGGTGAGGGTTCTGGGGGTGCTGCGACTGGGAGTGCTGCGACTAAGGGTGCTGGTTTTGGGGGTGCTGTGACTGGGGGTGCTGACTCTGGGGGTGCTGCGAGTCCTAGTGGCGGTGGAGCTGTGGGTGACCCTGCTGGAGGTCCTGGAGCTGGACAGCCACCGCAGCCTGATCTACTTGAGACGCTCTCGTCGCAGGTGATTCGTGCGTGGATCGTTCAGCGAGGCAGTCTTGGTGGTGGAGGGTACGGTCCTGCTGGTGCTCGAGCTGCTAGTCCTGGAGGTACTGCTGGTGCTGGAGGTACTGGAGGTACTGCTGGAGGTGTGGGAGGTGCTGCTGGTGCCGGAGCAGGTGGTGCTGCTGGTGCTGGAGGTGCTTGAGGTGCTACTGGAGCTGCTGGCACTGGAGGTGCTGGAGGTACTGCTGGTGCTAGAGGGGCTACTAGAGATGCTGGTGCTGGAGGTGCTGGTGCTGCTGGTGCTGGAGGAGCTGGAGCTGCTGGTACTGCCCCGCGCCGACTGTTTTTCTACCCGCAGCCGCAGTCGTCCCTTCCGCCGCCTGACTCGGTCCTTCGCCAGGTTCTTAGTCTCCCATCTTCCACTGGCCTCCCTCTACCCCTCCTGTGTCCACCGACAGACCAGTCTCAGCCACAGCTACTGCCTGGCTCCCCGCTGCCTGCGCCTGCTCCTCACACTGAGGTGACTAAGTCCCTGACTGAGCGTCGTGTGTCAAAGGAATGAACGAGAATGAATGAACTATGAAACAGTTGGGTACAAGTACTAACCCTTATTGGGTTGTACCCCTTATGGGCTACCCCACTATAGCCTACACAAAGTAAGCAATATAACATTCTGACACACCCCCATAGGCAAAGTGGGGGAGAACAAGTGGTCACAAGACCAGTCAAGAAAAGCAAAGCAAGCTCAGGGTGGATCACAAAGTCACCACATAGTTCGAGCACAAGCAAAGGGCCGCAAGGCCAGTTCACATGCAGAGTTATATAAAAGAGAACAAACAATACAGTGATCATACCCTAGCAAGTGCAGGCATGCAGGGATATATATAGATCACAGTACAAGCAAATTCACGCAGTGAGCAAGTGAGGCAAAGTAGGCACAAGGCCTAACACAGTAGAGAAGCGCTAATGATCACCAGGCGGAAGTGCCTTAGTGAATATATCAGCAGTGTTTACGGTTTAAGGTTAGGCCCCTAGTGGCCACGTACGCAAGATGAAGCTCGCCACGCTGCTGCAACTCTCGAGCAAGGAAGTATCGCAGAGCGATGTGCTTCGTTCAGTGCTCCAATCTGTGCTCCTGACACAAGGCAATCATGGCCTTGTTGTCTACGTACAGAACTGGAGGCGAACGAGGTTGCTCTCCCAAGTCATTCAGCAGGTAGGTGAGCCAGCGTAGCTCCTGTGCAGCTATGGCCCCTACGTAGATCCCAGCCTTACAACTGGAGCTGAGAATCGAAGACGAGCGGGTAGACCGCCAGGAAACAGAGCCGGAACCAAGGCTGAATGTGTAACCCTGTGACGACCGCTGCGTAGCTGAGTCGTCAATCCAAGAGGCGTCTGCGTGACCAGTGAGGACAACTCGACCCCGTCCTCCAAGAACAAGCCCCATGCCCGACGTACTGCACAAGTAACGCAGTACCCTTTTCTCAGCATCCCAGTGCACCTTTCGGTGCCTATCGGGAGCCACGTAGCGAGCCAGAAGGCTGAGAGGGTACGCGAGGTTAGGT